TCTCTCACTTCTGTTTTACAGGTATCAAACTGACGTTGTCAGCTTTGTTGGATGGCAAGAATGTCAACGCAGGTGGTCACAAACTTGGTCTAGGATTGGAATTTGAAGCATAAAAAGTGATTCTAGAATCACTATTTTGAAGATACTTTAAAGCATAGCTACCTTCAGAATCTAGTGTACCTTTCAATGTTTTATGTATGGGATGCAAGTTACTGCTGAGTATCGGTCATGGTAGTGCTGGTTTAAGACGGCTAAGCTAAAGATGTTTCAGAAGTGAGCCAAAAACAAACAAAAAAAATCCTAACTCCAGGCATTTTCAGAATGTTGTTGCCCATCATATCTGTCAACTGCCACATAGAGATGTAAAGGTATCAATTAGCTTTACTGAAGTATTGACTGCACAGGGAGTATTGAATGTGCTGTAAAAACAATGACTTTTAAGAATTGCAAGCCACTATAGTGAATTGTGAATTCTGTATGCTGAATGTCCCAGAACCACAGGTTCAGAGTTTCAGTTTGTGATGGAATGTGTAAAATTATCTGAAAAAAAGGGATTTTTTTAAAGATAGGTGTTTCATCAGTGTTTTGTCTTATTTAGTTGTCTCACACCTACAGCTGTCTTCAGAATGCTTTAGGCTGTCCACCTTGTGTAACTCTGTTGCAGAGGAGGTTTAATGTGACTCAGCCAATATTACTTGTCCTGTGCTGTGGTTCCTTTCCCTTGCACTGAATGGGAAGCTTGTAAGACAGAGCCATAATCAGGGAAGGAAGAGTCTTTGTGACTGCAATCACACAGTTGCATCACTTCAAATTTGCAATGGACTTTTTATTTTGTTACCACTTTTTCTTTTAGCAATTAAATGGGTATGTTTTTAGAGAGTCTTCCATTTTGTGTGGAACTAGACCCCAAAATGCTGTACCTGACACTACTAAAAATGGATTAAAAAAAAAGGCAAACCCAACTTGAATAAAATATTGGAATGTCATCTTCATCTTCTTCTTTGTCTTATATTGGCTGTAAAAGTAACTTCATACTACTGTGTTCTGACTGAAGGAGAAATTCCAGCCTGTGCAATGTGCTCTGGATGTCCCTGCTTGAGCTGGGGGGTTGGACTAGAGATCCCTTCCAGCTTCAACCACTCTCTGATACTGTATCTTGGTTCTAGAAACAGAGCAGCATCATTTTATTGCACTTTTTCTAACACCTAATAAATAATTTGGTGTGTTTTTTGCGGCAGTCTGCTTTGGAAATGTTTCTCTGGACCCACCCGCAAAAAAACACGGTACAGGAGCTGATTAAATGATTAATTCTTCTATCTTCCGAGCCAGCAGCATTCAGAGAGCTAGGGGCCGGGCCAGCCCTAGCGCCCTTCCACCTCAGGGTGTAACGGTCGCGCACGCCCCGCCCCTTTCCCAACGGTCGGCGGGGGCGTATGCGCACGCGCGGTCACCCCCGCGGCGCCGGCCGCGCACGCGCGCTCCCTGGCGGCGCC